ACAAATCTGTAAAGATTACAAGTAAGCTCAAACATTTTTTCTAAAGTAGAAGTGAAGATCAAGTGTTTTTAGTGAAAGATATTTAGCTTATTGCTCAAAATGGCCCTCATTTAATTCAATCTCCTCTCTATAACTGTTGAAGCTTCCTTGTATACTTGAGAAGTCAAATTTTTCTGTTAGAGATAGTCTTTAGTTGTTGGGGATAACTCTGATGCCATTATAGCAATTATTTTGTTCTCTAGTGCTTAAATTCAAAAAAGCAAACAAAGTTCGGCTAACTGGTTACAGGCAGCTCTAACTGATTACAACTTCTCTACCTTGCACCATCTTGCTACTGTGTACTATACATTAACTAATTAAAAGATATTTGTCTACAGGCTTTTCTACTTGAACAGGTTTCTTTTAATTAGCTAACTATTTCTTTAACTGATTGGAGCTTCACTTCCTTCAGCCTTAACCGATTAACACAAGCTCTAATCAATTAAAAAAATTTTAAATTTGAATTTCTTTATTTTGGCTCCTTTCAATGATTAGACTTATTTCAAATTTAAATTTTGGTGCTTGGAGGTTCTTCAAGTTTTGTGCTCTAACCGATCAATCTCATGTCTTAATCGATTAACACACCTCTATTTTCCTTTGCCCAGCTTCTTTTTAATTAGTTAAGCCTAGTACAACCTGATTAAAATTTTCTTGTTTTACTTTTACTTATAACCCATCCATTCCTTGATTGATTAAGGTTGTTCGATAATCAATTACCCAAGTCTTTGCTTCACTAATTCTTTTCACCTTTCACTCTTTAACTGATTAACCTATCTATCATATGATCTTGTTTTTAATCATTAATTTTCATGAGGGAATAAACTTTATCTTGCACACCTAAATAATGAAGTTAGACATTAATGAATGAGAAATGTTTTATTATCATCAAAAATATATGAAGTCAACATGAGGTACTCCTCTCCTTCATACAATGTCTTTATTTGATCATCCACATATGCCCTTGGTGTCTTGAAAAACAAGGAATCAATCGATGCTATGGTGGATTCTTAGAGGGTTGTCTTGGTCTAAAATGACATCCATGCTGAATCCAATCATGCTTGCTACTTGACTCGGTGAGAGCCGTAACCAACCCATAAGCATTACTAGATGTTGGTGATACGTTGACCCTTGATGTTACACCGACCTTGACTATTACACAAGCTTTTAAGGTTGAGCTGAAGTGAGGAGAATTTTAATAAATCTAATTGAAGTATTGGGAAAATCTAGAAAAAAAATTTCCAATATTTAAATAAAAAGTTAAAAGGAATAAAATATGAATAAGCAGAAAAAGACACAAGACTAAATAAACACCAAATGAATTCAACAAAGGAGCTTATTTAAGAGAGTAAATGACTTTCTTAAATGTTCTTGAAGGGAAATTTCCTTAGATTCGACCAAAATTTAGGAAAACTTGGGGAAATATGTAATATTTAAATAGCAGAATAAAAAGAAAACAATAAAAAAATATTAAGGGAAATTAAAGTGAAGGACCAATTATGATTCATGAGATTAAGAACCATTTATAAAAGCTGAAAAAAGATAACACAAATGTTGTTCTTCGAAATAGCATCATAGGGATGCTTATACCTTTTCTTCTCGTAACCGCACTCCTTAACGGATCTATTTTGAATACCAAAGCTACCTTTTTTAATAAGTTTATGTAAAGTTTACAATGATATTAAAAAGGATAAATACAATTTAAGTAACCAATCACAGCTAGATATAAAAGATTAAGGGTGACTCGTCACGTTCAATGATTAATCCCTTCACTCAAATGCTACAAATATTGAGATTTTCAAATAGAAACATATTGAACAACGACATCAATAAAAATTAAACCACACACAAAAGACAATATTTAACGTGGCTCAGTGCCCATTGTTTACAACCAAGGACGATAGAGAAAAATCTATTATAAATATAGAGATTACAAAAAATATAAAATATTCAAAACAAACACTAAATCCGAGCCTTGGAGGAAACGTAATTTCCATGTTCACTAATGTTTTGGACCGTGTAAACCCGTGCTCTCATGCAACTTGGTATGTTTCCCATTATTTCTCACATCTCTATAGCTCTATGAAACTGTTCATCTCTCACATTGAGATCACGTAAAAATTACATCTCTCTATTAATTCCAAAGCTAAGTCACACCCCATATTTAAATAATCCTATTATTTAATCACCAAAAATCTCTGCCTACTAAAAACTCTTATCTTTTTAAGTATATTTATCACTTAAACAAAATAAATCATCGAATAGTTCTCAAATCAATAGATTTTCACTGAAAACCAAACTGAATCTCAAATCTCAACTAATGGAAATATCTAACAATTAATGGAAGACTGAATGAGTAGCTATTTGGTCAAACATCTAAAAGGACCCCGAAATAAATTTTAGCATGGGAAGGGAGGAGGCATGGAATCGAGTGTTGTACCTGACCAAGTTACTGCAAAAGATTAACTTTATTAATGACAACCACGTGCTTGCATGTCACTTATGAGACACGTGTGAAATTAAAAAGAAATAAATATTATTTTTTTTAAAAAAAAGCACTCGCACGTGTCAGTGGCATGCATGCCCCAGGCCAAAGCCTTGCATACAATCAATTCTTTTGCACATAAAGTATGCCAGAAGGGATATGGTCAAGTAAGATTTGGGATTCCACGTTTAGTAAATTATACATATGTGTTTTTTGCCTTTACTTGTAGAAATAAAAGAGGAGGATGATGGGAATGTGGAGCATTAGGCCGTAGGTGAAGATTTTGTTCATGCGAGAGACTTGTAGTTACGATAATTGGGAGGTTTGTTTTCCGAGGCTTTGTGGAAGAATCCAATGGTCTTTTTGGCAACCGAATTCCTGTTCAAGTCATTTATTTTTTTATTAATTTTCTTAATTTTTTTTAATGGACATGTTGAAATTTTATAAATCTGCTTATGAAAATTTTAAAAATTAATTTCGTTTTTGGTACAAAAGGTAATATTTATCTGAAGAGTAGATCACACCCATGATCTTTAAAATTTGAGATGCATACTATTTTGGTCCTTACAGTTTAAAAAATAATTTGTTGGTACGTAATCTGTCTGTGTTTCCATTAGGTCTAGCATTGAGTTCAACTGGCATTAAGTTCCATAAGGGAGGGAGGGAAGAATAAGAGAGAAAAGAAAAAAGAAAAAGGAAAAAGGAAAAGAAAGAAAAACTAATTGAAAAGTGGGAAAAGGATAATAAAATAACTGAAGAAGAAAAGAAAAAATTTTTGGATAATTTTTTAAATATAATAATTTAAAATAAATTAATAATTTCTATCTTTCTATTTATTTACTAAATAATTTTTTATTTTTACTCTTTTAAATATAATATGAGAGTTCTCTAATGTGAAATTTTATAAAAAAAAAAACACAAAAAATTTCTTTAAATAAACCAATTAACGTACACAACAATTCACACGTGTCTATCACGTTTTAGACACATGTCGTCAACCGACACTTAACATCAAACTTACACAAAATGACTAAAACAAAAGATTTATCTCGTTATAATGATATAAGTATAGCAACAAACGGGAGACTAAAATGGTATGTAATTTACTCTAATATTCCTGAAACTTAAAAAGAAAAGTGAAAACAATGTAACATAAAGTTAAATGTCAAGGTTTGAGGACCTCTCCTTTGCCACTTGTATGTATGTTTTGTTAAATGAATATTGGATCAATTAATTATGAAAATGTGAAGTAAATGGGAATTAAGGTTAGGTATAAAAAAGAAGACAAGATGGCATCATCCACCCCCACAAAGGGAACATGTTCCAACTGTCATTGTTAGTAGCCGAAAACTGAAGAAGAAAGCAAAAGAAACAAGATTAGGTATCCTATATGTGAACAACAAGAGCTCCTCAGTGACCTCAAAACCCGGATGAGGCTTGAAGAAAATGCGACGCCTACTATGCAATACAAAAACAAAGACAAAACACCCTGAGAAAGGAATAAAAAGTAATAATATGAATTTAGTTTAAAAGAAAAGGGCAGTCTTTCTTGATTCATGGCCCTAATCTTGTCTTGTCTCTTAAAATAATGATTAATGCCGAAGTAATCCTCACGTTCGCTGCTTCTGTTTTTAATTATTTCTTCGTCATCGCCCCTCACATCACCTTTTCTATCTTTTCTTTTCTCCTTTTGGAGATAGACACTAGTATGTATATGTAAATATATATATATATATATATATGTTTTGTCTTCACCTCAAATAGTTTAATTGTTTCTACATTCTGTGTATCGGATTTTCATCACGGGTTATTGACCTTCAAGTAATATTGATTGAGGTTTAAAAGGAGAACAAAAAGATAAAAAAAGGGTACTAACATGTATTGGCTGGCTGTGGAGGTGTCCTTTGGTTCACTCAGAAGGTGAAGTCTCTCGCTGTAATCTGCTCACTGCCAGTGCCACCTGTGGTACCGTAGCGGATCATGTGATATGACGCTTGGGGCTTAACTCTTCATATTTCTTAGTTTGCACCTTCCTCTTTTATGATTTATATTATGATGTGCCCCCAACAAACATAGAGTGCCCAATATGTACCATCGAATATCAGCTTTTATGACAATAGCCACACTTATTTTACTTTCCTTCCATGTGTTTTTTTTTTCTTTTGAATAATAATTATATAATAAATCTTTCTCGCTTTATTTCTCAAATGTAATAAAAGATGTATTTGGATATCATTAACTTTTAATAATAATCATTACTTGATATAAAAATAGTTTCGTTTACTTCGATTATTTTTATTAGCCCTGTAAATGTGAAATATTTTATAAAATTACGTAACATATCAACTTAATTTTAATATCATTAATGATCATTTTCTCTTTTCCTTTTTAATATACTTAATAGAATTAAGTACTTAAAACTAATTAAGATTAATTAAGTAGTAAAGGTGGTAGAATTTCAAAAAGGAAAATGCCTGTTAGGGATTTACTACGGAACTCATCGAAGCAAAGATCATCTACATCCCAAAGTAAGGGTCAGTTCAATAGCAGGGGCAGGTACTGTTGGAGGCTTCTCGCCCCGAACAGACTCTAAATTCTACAAATATAAAAAATCCAAATTTCTAAACCAATATGTTTCCCTTGCAAAAGCATTACCTTTTCTAATATCAACATGCACACAAGGCTCCTATCATATATATATATATATATAACCAAAAGGAGAGGGAAATACTAACGAGTAACTAAAGTTTTGGCCCTGCTGATTGCCATTACTCTGTACATCAGGCATCAGTAAATTTGTAATGGTCGTCAGTGGTTGTGTAAATGAGGCCCTCTGATGAAAGATACTCTAAAGTTGTCCTGTCAAAGGCCAAACCTTTGCAGTTTGAGAAGTTATGGATACAATTAAATTAGTGTGAACAAATGAGCAACGAGTGAAAGAGAATTTGGATAGTGACGAACCTGATTTTATCCAACGAAATATTTAGTTCTCGAGCCACGACATCAGAGCGTACCCCAGTCTCAGATGCACTGAAATTGTCAGATACCATGATGTGAATAAAAGCGGACATAAAGGGGCTATGAGTACAGAAGTGAAACGTAACAATGCTCGGCCAGAACGTGAACAATATGATATATAGATGTTCCCAAATATGCTTTGGAACTACTCTACCATGAGTACTGATCAAAGTAGATCTCACCAAAAACTGCCAAAAGTCAAACCCAACTTATCCAGAAACTTACAGTCTTCAACAATTTCACCATGATTGGTGAGGATACTCTTACATCTTTGGGACATTTTCATTTCTTGGTAAATTCTAAAAGAAAATAAGAGTGACCTCTTCACAAGTCCAACAGTCAGTTAGATAGGACTTTCACAGTTTCACCACAAGCTTCCCCTTCCTCTCTTTGTAGCATGTTGCTATGAATAATGAACTATTTGGTCCACAAAGTGAACCTAAGACCGAACAAAAAACCAAGCCCAAAGGCCGGGTCTCAAGCACATTGATCAAGGGAAGTAAAATTTGAATGGAAAATTAATTGATTATTTTCTTAAACATGTTCATTTAAATCTAAACACTGTTAATAAAACCCATAATTAGATGTTTCTTTTCCAGGAGGAGCTGTATATTCACTGTATTAGTCTTCACTGCCAAATCTAATAGCTTGTCAACTCAACAGTATTAGAATACATGATACATGCCTACTGAGGGCTATTTTTGGGATACATGAATAATGTTTATTACACATGCTAAATCACCAACTTATAAACTATGCACTAAAGTGTATAAAGACCAGAAGCTGGAAATATTTTCTATTGAACTGTATTAAGTACCTTTTTATCATACAAGTCATTTCTATTTTTATTTATTATTAGGATAGGCCAACCAGATAAGTTATACTAGCTCATAACGTAATTGATAACTTTCCCCTTTTCAATGAACACAAACACACGAAAAAGTAGCAGCCTGTGCACATCAGCATGGTCTAGGTCATTACAAAATCCAGTTTAATGCAATTCCCAATTCAAAGAAATATAGAAGATCAATTGAATCAAACACGCTCACCAAACACAGTATTTCGAGTTTAAAGGATATCATAGGAAACTCACAGGCATGCTGGTCGACGCAAGTAATTTAAGACCATTGAACTTACACCTAAGATCTGTTGTTCATCGGTGTTATACTCGCCAGAGAACTGCAAAAAGAAAAATTGATGAAGTTAGGGAATCAATTCAGTCTTGTTATGGCACTTGCATAGGTGCAAAGGCACCGTGCCAAACAACAAAAGCACCTCAGAACTTTTAAGCTATGCACATTTGGTCAGGCGCACCCCTGATGCACCTAGGTGCACTTTTCTATAAGGCGGTAAGCACAAAAAGGCTCGCCTGATTGCTGTACTCTGTCATTTCTTTTTTTTTTGGATTAGCTGTGCCCTCAATAGAAAAAAAAGGACAATAACTCTCTACTTCTCAATGTTTGAGTATTCAACAACAAACCTGCAACCATAAGGAAATCATACATATTGGCCAAAAAAATGAAAAAGGAAACTTGCATGTTTTGTAGGATAAAAATGGATCACTCTTTAGATTTTATTATCAGAATTACATATCTTAAGCTTATTTACACACACACACACACAACTATATATATTGCACCTTAGTTCACTCAGTCAAGCAATTTTTTTGCACCTTGTGCCTTGGGCAATTTAAGGGTTCTAGCACCTAGAGGATGCCTTGTGCCCAACGCTAGATCAATTAAATGAAAGAACTTAGCAAAGTACTCTAATAGTCAGTTCCTTCACCTGGTTTGACAGGTTAGTTTGGTAGCCCATTATCGGGTTGCTTACAATTGAATTTGTCACCTGAGGCTGAGTGGTCATACCACCAACTAAATTTGTCGCCTGAGACTGAGTGGTCACGCCACCCTGCAGCATACATACAAAGTCAAGATAAAGCAATTTAGTGCCCAACAACAAAAGCATAAGCATTATACATCCAAATAAGCTGGAATGTCATTTTTGTAAAACTCGAGCATCTTTTACTTGGACTCTTACCCGCAACTTGGTGTTGTAAAGATGAACATATATACACTCAGCAAAGTGGTTTACAATCTCATTAAAATCAGTAAGAGGCCTGAAAGCCACACCAAAGGTCAAAGTTAGAACTCTTAAGTACAAGTGTACAATAGCCAAATAAATCTACATGAACAAATGCATCATGTGATAATAGATGTAACAATGGCAAAAGCATAACCAAGAGACAACCCCACTAGGACATTCCATCGTTCTCAGAATATGGGATAATCTAAATATGGACTTCTATAATTCCACATGACCCAGATTTTTTTGGTATAACTAGCTTATAAAGCAACTGACTGGAAGTGTTGCCCTATATTATCCACAGACTTAATAAGAAAATATCTGAATTTGGATTGATTTCTCTAAAATGATTTTGAAAGCCATGTAATATCATGGAAACCATTAATAAAGTCTTTTCTAGCCACCAAAGTATAAACCAGCAGCAGTGATGTTAAACTTCAGAAGAGTAACTTAAATAACACCACACCTGATTGGGAGAAAATGAATAATAAGAAAGAGAAAATAGAGGTGCATGTTTTAAGCCTAGCAGACTGAGACACAGAACCATACATTTAAACAAGGTCATTATGTGGTTTATTTAAGCATCAATACTATGTAAAGTTGATTTTATTGCAATCAAAGCCAGGTCAAAATGTTTCGTACTGAATCAAAACAAAAGTCCCAGAATATCTTTGTTACAATTGACACTCAAGTTAAGACCACCTACTGTGAAACAATCGAGGAACTTGGTGAACCTTAGCTTTGCTGCACTATCATGTCGGGAAAACCTAAACGTAGAACTTACGAACTGTGACAGGCCAAAGAAAAATATAACAGCAGATCTAGCAGTAATATCTAGTTGTGACTGTCTGCTAGGCCTGGATCTAACTCCTCCAAGAAAACCAATGCTGTCATTGTACAATCTAAAAGAAACAAGATAATAAGTATACCCTTTTTATCAGGAACATCTTTACACCTCACTATGATTGTAAACACGTGTATGGGCTATCGAATGAGAGCCCAAAAATTAGAGCTCAGGAGAAAGACCGATGATCACAGAAAGTTTGACCATAAAAAGTCAAGGAGCAACGTGCCAATGTTTAATCATAGAAAGTTGCTCCTCTGGGGTAATGATGGAGGTGACAGACTATACAACTAAAATCAACTCAGCTTTGTTCCCAGCCAAATGGAAAATGCAAGGTGAAGGATCTTAGAAATATTTTGAAGGTAGACCTCACAAAATGACAACTCATGAGTAATGAATAGTAACAAATTTGCACCTCAACCCACAGCTTTCTCTGCGGCAAGACAATTTGCCCAAAAGTTAGCCAATATGGAAATGTAAATAAAGATTTGTCAAAGTTTACCAAGTCACAATCATTTCAGGCTCACATAAGTCTTAAAAAGGTAAAAGAATTAGAGAAATACAAGTAGAGGTGTCAAATTGCCAAGCAGCATGGGGCACAGCCTGGCCCAACATGATATAAGCCATGACAGGCACAGCCTGCAAACTACAATATTCTGGCATGCCAGGCATAGCCTAGATAACTATATAGCAGCTAGACAGTGCTGGGTTGAGGGTCAGCCTTTCAGCTTGGCATAGCATGGTGCATTTAGGGCCATTTCATGTTATTCACACACAACTCTATCCTATATCACCTCTCAAAAGAGAAGGCTCTCAACACAACAATGAAAATTGAAGAAACTAACCAGCATGTCAGGCCTGTTGCCTTGCCTATGAAACAAATAAATTACTCTACAACCATCAAAATTCATTGTCCCACTAATGAAAGATAAAGGCTACAAAAAATAGCACAAATCAATAACCATCTACTTCACCCCACCTATCAAAAAAATTAATTCTTATGTCATTTAAAATTCATGAATAATAAACAAGTTTGGCAAATAAAACACAAAGCAGGAATTCAAAAAAATCCATAATCTATCCTCCTCCACTTTTATCTTCTAAACACAATACAGAGAATATGCCAAGTAAGATTCATCAAAGATCACTTGGGCTTCATCTGGTTAATGCTTTTGCTAGTTGCTTTAATTGCAAAAAATGAATAGAAAGCAAAAGGTAAAAAAAGAAAAGAAAATAAAAGACAAATAGCAAAAGCATCAAACAAATGAAACCTTATTAAATGTATTTATCTGAAAGAATGATATGTAAATGTCCAAAAAAAAGAGTTCAACAAAGCTCCCAAAGAACTTTTCCTCTCCCCCGCTAGAAAAATACGGTAAATAAAAAGAAACATAATGTAGAAAACAAAATAAATTTGAACTCATACCGAATGGAAAAGGTGTGTAAGGTCCTTCTACTTTGGATGCTTTTTAACTGGCCATAGACACGAACATACATTCCAACCCTGAGATGGAACAGAATACCTGAATATCATGACACATAAAAAGGTGTTTCCAAATGAAGGCATTTGGGGGAAAATATCCTCAAATGCCAGCAGAGGCATAGTGAGTTTTCATGTATGTGTTATTACTTTCAAGGATTTCATTTGTTTTGCCCAAATATTTTCAACACCACAAAAATTCTAGTAGTCCATACACTGGCAGCACACAGCTCCGTTGTATTTTTGTTTTCTTGAACAATGAAAGCTATTAAATATATGTCTCGGATTAAGCTACATTAACTTAGAAGAATAGTGAGAGATAAAATTTACGAGATCACATCAACTTCAGCTGAGTCTACAGGTTCATGTATCCTACAGAATTAAGAAAAAAGCATTTAGTAGCAGGAAACGAAGTTATCAAACAACAAAATGTTTTAAAAACAAAATTGAAAGGAAAAAAAAGAAGCAAGGAGAGAAAATTGACCATTTGGTGCATTCAACCCATCCTGTGCCATCATCAACTCTGAAAGTACAATCTGAAACAGCATTGTCTATCTTGGATACCATCCCCACTAGCACAATCTAAAAAAATTAAAAACCAAAAATTTAAAATTCAAAACCCATTTAAAATATATAATGCATGGGAAATAAGCAGAAAAAATAAAACAATGAAGCAGTCAAAGCCTACATTGTTGACATCAACACCATCAATGGAAATTCCAGATTCTCCACCTCTTGAGAGATCCTTCAACTGCTTCACTGTAAGTGGAATCAAGCACCGCGCATCACTATTCTAAAAAATTTAAAAAGAAAATCAAAACCTGTTTGCTTCAGGAGAAGTACAGAAAAACAAAGAAGCAGACATCACATCGATATTTCAAGCAAGAGGAAAATCCCTACAATCAAATTGATCGTTAATTTTATTTCCAAAAAATTGCATTTTAATACAAAAATAAACAATAATTACAAAGAATTAGAAGTTAAAAATATAATTAGTTTTTACTTTTAGCTAAAACAATGATGTTCTAACAATAAATGCTGTTACAATTTAATAATTTGTTTATCATTTAACAATTAGTACTACATGATTTTACTTTTGCTTTCTAACAAATTTTTAAAGAATTAAATATAAATAGAAAAAAATAAGTAACATAAGCAAATACAAATGAGCCTAAATTAAAAATTAAAAAAAAATTTGCAAAATTCTCAGTATCAAACAGAATACTTAAGCCTCCACTTAATTTCAAAATTCTCACTTCGCTCTTTTGTTTTATTACGCAATAAATAAACAAAAGCGCCAAGAAAAGCATGGCAAAACCTTAAAATTTAATTATTTGAAAACACAAAAAAACAAAGAACTATTATAAGAATAACCTCTAATTAAAAAAAAAAAGAAGAAGAAATGAAAACAAGAAAACCTTCAATAAAAAACCTAAAAGAATGGGATTTATACTTTGGAGGAAGAGAAGGAGGAACGATCGGGGGCTGTCTGCGTGGCCTGAGAAGGCATGAATCCGCCGCCGGAAAAGGCCGCGTTTCCATCAAATTCGTTCGCCTGCATCGTGGCTTCTTCACTTCTTCTTCTTTCCGAAATTTCTTTGTTCTATTACTTCCCCAAGTTAACAGAAGCGTCGGGATTTTTCTTTCTTTTTTTTTTTTTTTTGACTTAACACTTTATGGGTTTCTGGAAAGTGGGTTCCCGCCATATTGTCTTTTCGTTTCCCTCTTTTCTTTAACCATTTTCACAAAATTAAATAAAAATTCGCATATTTAACGGGTTGATGATGTGTCATTCTCTGATTCGTTTTCCTGTTATGGATGATGTGCCATCCTCTGAGTCGTTTTGCTTTTAAGTTGTATGGATGACAACTTAAAGATAGCAAGTTTATGAGGACAAAATGATTATTTGTACATATTTCTTACTCAATTCTTTTATCATACAATTTTGTGTGATAGAAAATTAATTATTTTTATTGTAATAAAGTAGATCCAGCATGTTCTAAGCATGAACTTTTCATCAACAAAGAGATTAACATGTATGATTAAATGACCTTAATTGTCGGGAAAGGCATAGCATTTGAGAGCTTTGCCAAATTGTTTTTGATATCGATTAGGATGATAACACCAAAGCTGATCTAATGCTTGTAGGCCTAGATGAGGAAGTTGATGAAGAGGTCACAAGAAGGCAAACAATGTTTTCATACTTGGGAATTTTACTACCACGATCTCATTCGCGTAATTTCACTTTTAAAGATGAAGATAATTAAAAAAATTACATTTATAGTAAAAAAAATAAGTAATGATAAAATTGATAATGTCGCCGTTTTTGAGCAGGGGATGAATATGGGAGGGTTTGATCAAGACTTTCTTATCTATGCCTTTGATTATTTAAGAGAACATGAGACTTAATTAAAGGCATTCATGGTTAGAAGTGATGACTTGAAAAGAACTTGGTCATACTTTGTGGTTTAGGGAATGGGTGTTGGACCGTACAATGTAGGATGCTTTTATTACATATGACAATATTAGTAGAATAATTAATTACACATTTTTGTAAAATAATAAATTATTTATATAAGATGATAATTTTTATTTATATGTATGTTTTTAGTCACTTTTTTATATATAGATGATATTTTTAATATTGAAAATGAAGTTTTAAATGTCTTGAAAATTTGATGAATATTGATATTTCGATGATCGTATGATAAAAAATTGAAAATCAATGATAATAAAAAATATTTTTCACAAGATGATTCAAATAACAAAAAATACTTTTGACAATTTAGCCAATTGACAATAAATATTAGATTTTTCAATAAAATGTTTTGCACGAAAAAAAAATCTTTCAACAAGTTATTTTTCGAATTACTATATGGGACCTTAACCTGTAATTTGATTTAATCCAATTCTATAACTTGACATAATCCAATCCTCTTATTTAAAGGGCACATTCATGTAACGTTTTTTTTTTTTTTTGCCGTTACCAGTCCTTCTATGCCATGGAAGTCCCCTGTTACCCTAGTTAAAGACTTGCAATGACCTGCCCATAACCAGGCTAACAAAATTGCTTCTCAAAAAAAAAAAAAACAGATGACACGTTCATATACTATAAATTAACAAGTAATGTAAAACAGCAATTAATGTTCATCATAATTCAATTCTGTTTTTAAAATTTCATATGGTATGAGAGGAGTAAGTGCTCTAAAAAGTCAACCATGTTGATTCCTTATAAATGTAAACATGGGGCATCTTATTGTTTCCAACAAGGTGCACCCAACTCAAGCATGCTTTCCAAAAGTTTTACTTTGTTACTTCATTACAAGAGGATCAGATAGAGAAACCAATGTTTTGAAATTGATTTTAATTAAACACTGTGGTAGTTATTAAGCATTGGGAAAGAACAGCCACCCCTGTTATAGGCTGTAGATTCGGCTTACGACGCGCAAAAGAAGCAAAGGATTAACGTGAACCCCTCAATCATGTTTGATATAATGATTCCATTATCCTTTTGACTTTCCTTTCTCCGCTGCCCCAAGCTGTATACTCTTCTTAAAGAGTGGTCTACAATAAGGGAGCAATCCATAGCGTAACAATCGGTTTTACACGAATGCCACGTGACTAATTTACATTAGCAACGTTTTAGGAAATCAAGAAACCGAAGGAGAACATTCAATTAAGGAAAACCACATTTTTTGCAAGCATTATTAAGGGTATTAGGAGGCACTGACTCAACAGTCAACACTCTTAAGCCTCGGAAATCGATCGTCTCTCAATGGTAGTACAAACATCAATGCATGCTTTTGGTAAGATCAGTTAACAATGAAAAAACATTATAGATCAAAAACTTAACTTAGCACAATGAAATGGGGTTTCCATGAAAGAAGATATTTATGTGTAAACTGAACGAAATGGGGTTTTATTACAATCAAGTTTCTTTCAACGTAAGCCATGAGCTAACATGCATGTTGTCCACCCTAATGCTACAACTTGTTAGGGATTCAATCTAGCTAGGAACAAAATGAAGCCAACCCTAACACATATAAAAAGTAGAGACAATTGATATATCAAACTAGAAAGACCGTTTAACCAATCCCTTAGCAAAGCTACGTAAATTTGACGAGGAAGATGAACAATTACTATTGGAAGAAGATGTGGACAATGAGGATGATGATAGCGATGAAGATCTCGAGTGATCGGACGAGGACGTCGACTCGACATTAACACCTGAAATCTCGACACTTTCTGGGGCATTGCCCATGCTTGCTAGTTCACCATCAACATGCCCTTGACGGCCTTTAGCTTTGGCCTTCTTTCCTTGACGATGGCTCTTCCTGGATTTATTCCAAAAGCAGGACATTGTCGTTTGCGCCGGAGCAAAGCTTGGCTTCTCCAAGGCTTGGCTCTGCACTGAGGGAGGTGGCTTGATGGATGCGACAATCTCACTTTGAGGATGCTTGGGAGTTCCAGGCTGCATTTCCCAATCAAAAGGAACCGAGACAGCACTTTGGGTTTGAGACGTCCGCATGGATTGCCCCACAAAGGACCTCCTCCCAAGAATCTTTTTCAAGAACATTCGATCAACTTGAAACAAGGAATTCGCTTTTTCTTCAGCTATGCTATTTTCATGCCCCATTTTCCCTTTTTGTTTTTGTTCTTTCCAACAGTTTAACGAAGCCAATTAAGAATTTATAGTGATACAATAAACGATACAATAGGAAAGTCAATTAAGTCATAACAATTGATTTTTTGGGTTCAGAATTTCATTCCCGAAAAATCTTCTAATCTTCAATTGGCCTAAAATTAAGCTATGATTGACATTTAATGTCCTAAGATTGAAATAAATGTTGATTTTTCCCCAAAAATCATTCTCATTGGAGTGAATTTCTGCTCATTCACATTGATACTTTTAAATAATATAATTTTTAATAATAATAATTGAAGCGCTTCTTATGTATTCTATCTTTCTTTCTTTAAAGTAACGTGTTTAATTGAAAAATAGAATAGTCATTTCCCCTCTATTCCTAAGCTCCCTCATATTTACTTATATTTTTGGTAAAAACATTATTGCATTAGAACAAATGTTTAGATCTTACACTCAAAGTGACTACTTTAATCACTCATATTGGTCTGTCTCATAGTTAATTATTCCTTCACTTGCTTAGTAAATTTCATCATGTACATAAGTACTTCTATAAACAAGTTTATATTTGAGTTTATTAACTTTTTCTCTATAAATTCTAAAAATATTTCTAAAACGTCTACAAGAAAAACCAAATGGGTCAAAAATCAAATCTGACATATAGAAAAAATTAATAATTACCAACTTTTTTTATTTAAATTTTCAAATCTCCTGTCTCATCTTTGTTTTAACATATAGGAAAAATTAGCTGATCATATAGTAAAAAAAAAGTGATTTTTTCCAATGAAATATTTGTCAAAAAATGTTCAAAACTATATAAAAAATACCTTTTTAGTTGTTAGAAAAATAAGGATTGTGTACTTTTATTGGGGTATAAGTAGTTTTAGTTCTTTTTTTTTTTTCAGGCAATTGCTAAAAATTTATTGATGAATCATGTATGGGATATGCACTCCCGACATGTCGTTCAACAGAATGGTTGAGACTCTTGGTGGAGGAGAACTATACAAAATAAAATTAGGACCTAAGTCAAAGCCTAAATTAGCCATATAATCTATTACTTTATTCCCCTCCCTATAAACATGAATTACATTAACCTCCCATTGCCGAATTAGTAGAGCTTAGATTGCTCTAATCACATCTAAATTAGCACAAGGATGCACAGATGAAGCATTAAGCGCTTGAACCACTGATTTGTTATCGATTTGCAAATTAATGTTGCGAAACCATTGCTCCCAAGCCAGCTGAAGGCCTTGAAGAACACCCCATAACCCTGCATGAAGTGCAGTGCCCATACTTAGCTTGCATGCATACCCTACAATCCATATGCCACCCAAGTTTCTTAAGACTATGCTAGCAGAAACAGCCCCCGTTCTACTCTTGTACGCCCCATCGAAATTCGCTATTATCTAGCCAATGGGTGGTGGTGTCCATCCCACTAACCGTTTTTCCCTTTTGGCTAGTCCACTACTTTGCAGCGAAGGGTTTAATCACGCATTATGAGTGGCCACAACCATGTATTTGATAATATTTAATCGCCTTTCAATGGAGATTTCATGGCCCTTAGTTTTGATATTCCAAACAGGATGTTCCTAGGGATATCAAAACTGAAGGGATTACTCTAGCTGAGGTTCACATACAGCCATTCTGACCAAGTTGCTTGAAAAAATTGGTATCTGTTATTTTGAGGCAACAGACGCATCCATAGGGCAATAGAAACAGGACAATCTCTAAAAAGGTGAAGGCTCGATTCCTCAGGAAGATGACATTGTGGACAAGAAGCATCAAATGATAATCTATGTCTTACCCTTTCAACGTTTGTCAGGATACGACTGTGGAGGCAATAAAATAGAAAAATACATATTCTTTGAAAACCACTTCATCCCTAAGCTAAACTCCACTGTTTTCTATTTTCTGTGCAGCCTAACTCAGTTTGTCTTCGTAAATGTTCATATACTGATGAGACAGTAAAATGTCCAAAAGAGAATAAAGCCCAAAACGGCATATCCAGAAAAGCGGGCAAGCTAAGAGGAATGATGTAGAGGATATGTTCCACCACTTCAGCTAGTAACA